TTTCATATCTGTGAAATTACCTGCTATTTAAGTGGAGAAAGGAAGGGTTCATTTACCCATGTGTTTACTTTAAATAAAGATATTCTCAGCTCTTCATGGGAACATTCAACTCTGCTTGTCTAGCTTACTTTTGAGTAAGCTTGGAAAAATAGCTAAAACTCATGCTTCTTTTGGGATGAAACAGTTAAGCAGGACATAACACAGGAAACAACCAATTTACTAATCCATTAGACCAATACAGATAAAAGCAAGAGACTTCTGTTCTAAGCAAGAAGCAAGCAAATGAAAAATAGAACATGAATGTAAATTACTACTTGTATGGGGGCTTTTTATTTGCTTTAAAAGTTTATTCAAATATAAAGAAGGAGGAGAAAAACAGCAGAAAATAAGACAAAATGGTAGGCCACAGATAAGTAGATAAAGATGTGCTGAGGTCAAATGTATATAAGGTGCCAGAAGAGCAGGGAATGAGAAGAGCAAATGACTGACAGAAGGAGACTGATAAAAAGATGAAGAAGACAGTTGAGGACAGGTTGCTGTCTAGGTAGGATTGTCAAAGTCCTCAGGAAGGACTCTTTACGAAGCACTCAGGAGGAAACTGCTCATGGCTTTATTGGAATCTCTAAAGCTCAAGGAGGAAACAGAGCTATCAGTGAGATGGGCTTTCCCATTTCCTCATATTATGGCCCCTGGCAGAAAAAAAAAAGCTATCTTCAGTTCCTTTATCCTATCTGAGGTTAAAGGACCATGATACTTTAAATCCCCTATATGTTCTTCCATGTTATCTGACTGCAGCAACCAATGTCTTGTGAAAATAATGCACACAGAGCTCCCTTTCTTAGAAGAATTTAACTCTTCTGCAAGACTCCTATTTATTGGGTAATTTTACTTTGGTTTTGAGTGTTTGGAGAAGAACATCTGAGAGAACTTAAAATACTAACCAAGTACCATTCAGGTTTCTCCATCTGCTTAAAGAGCCACTTGATTATCCACATTCCAAACCAATAAGCATTTCATTTCACCATCCCAAGAACATAATTCTTGTTGTTTTTTACAGAACACCTCCCCCCAAAACTGAAAAACATACCCTCCCAGTGTTTGCATACTACTGTTCTGGATTCAGTTGTTCACACTCTCCGTGTATCAGGTGACATGTCCACAGGAGGCCCTTTCCTCCAATCTATGTTTGTTCAACATCAAATTTCACCAAGAGATCTAGAACACTTAATACCCCTAAGCTGTTTACCCGAGACAAAAACTTATGCAATCTGATTCTATACCCTTTCCTGTTATTCCACTTCTGTCTGTAATTTTATTAGTTTGCTCCAATTGATCTGTCTGACACAGAAGAAACAAGATTAACAAAGTAAATGTGGACTTGGAGATAATGCCAGTAAAATTTTGGACTTTGAAAGCATTTCCCATATCTGTTTATTTTTACTGTAATACATTTTCCAAAGGGAACAGACATAAATATAAAACCAATTTCTGCAGAAAACACTCTTAGAAATTTAACAATGTCTAGGTCTACAATAAAACTTGCTTTTATCTTTCCAGTGTCTTTAAAAAACTTTCCCGTAGCCTGTTCTGCTACTGTTATTGACGTTAGTTATATTGCATATGAATATTTAAGTTGCCTCACATGAAGTTAAGGGAATGAGATTCAAGTAAGGCTTCCTGCCTGTTAATCACCATAGAGTGACACCTTCCTGATACTGTATGCTGGAACAGAGAGGCAACTCGTCTTTTGGAAGTTACATGAAAAGGGGCAGTACACGACAACAGTGGTAGCTGGTGTTTAGTATAGTGGTAGATGCATTTGTCTAAAAAGACAAACTGCAAAAAGCATAAACCTGTGTTTTATTTTTTTTTTTAAATGTGCATATGAATATGTAACATGAGTTAGTTTTGTATATGCACAAAATTTTGCAAGGACAGGCAATTTTCAGAATTGCTAGTAAACATTTCTATAAAAACTAGTGTTTTCCTGTTTCATAAAATATTTGTTACTCTAAAATTCAAAAGCCATATGGAAACTTCACAACTTCTAGTTAAAAAATAAGTAACGGAAGCACAGTAAAATTTACTCAAAACAAAACTAGAAAGCCAGTCTATAGGCAAGCATTTCCTATGAAAGACAAATTCCTAAGAGAACAGATCACCCTCACCCATTATCTTAAACCTCAGAAGAGCTAACATTCTGAAGTTTAAACACAAAAAAAGAAATGTCTCTCATTATAATACTCTACCATCAGTTCTGAGATATTAGAACTTCTAAATACTGATAGTTAAATTTCTCAATTGACTTTCACTACTCTGATAATAAATCTTTCAAAACAGTCTAGATTATTATAATATAGGACTATATATTTCAGTCTCTGCCTCTTAAGTTACACTGGTGACTATGAAGCCAAGCACAATTCCACAAGAACTTGCTAAACTTGCAATTTGTTTCTGCTACGTTGATTATACTAAAATAATCCAGCCTAAATCCTGTGATGTTGTACAACACACAAAAAACATGGCTGCCTAGAGTTAACTAACTTTTTGATACAAGGGCACTTCAAATTCCAGAAGCATCCAGAGATTCAAAACACTTCAATTTTATTAATTCATGGTTAAAGGTATAAAAGTTGGTACAGTAAGAGAAAAGCATTTCTACTATAGCCCCGAAGTCTGTTGAAGAACATAAGGAATTTGATTAGTAAAGGGTCATTTTTCTTTAGGCCCAACCACATCAATACCAGCTTGATCTGCAAATTTCTAAACTACTGTGCACAACAGCTACTGTGCTAAAAATATGCTGTTACTCATACTTTGAGATATTCTCTCCAGAGATAGGACTTCCTAATAGGAGATTCAAATTAATAGGAAGTGCCCTTCCTGTGTTTTCTGGACTCTAGGACTAATGGGTTTGTTTTCAACAGCTTTTAAAAAAAGAACAAGCAGATTTACCAGTTGATTGGTGTTCATGCTTTAAAGTGAAGTGACCTTGTATACAAAGCCAAAGTGTAGTTGACCACAATTGTCTCTATTCAGGCACAAGGCTGTAGCAACTTTGGTTTTTCCTGTGTTTCAGAAGGAATTTGTACAGGGTTTGCTTTGAGAGATGGGAAGGAGTTGAACACAAAAATAAGACTCCTACTTTCAGGAAAGCAATTTTTATGTAGAGAAAGTGAACAGTTCTGGCCATGTGTATACAGCTATGCCAAATGTACCTGACTCACTCAGCTACATAAACACTATATAAACTCAGCAATTCTTAAAAATAAACACACAACGTATACTCTGTAATATAATATAAGGGAAAAAAATTCATAATCTACAATTAGGACTTCCAGATATTAAGGCAAAGTGACAATCGATACCAGTTTTGAAGAAAAAATGTCCTTTAGGATCAACTAACTTTTCAGGTCAGCATGCTTTTTGCGCTGCATACAGCAGAAACATGAAGCCAAAAGGCTGAAATACACATGGAAATGCACTTTTCTTTTTAATACTAATTACCTATTTGATTTTGATTTGTGAAGGATGAGGGGGAAACAGATAGCTCCAGTTAAATACAATTAGACTATGAAGTTCAACAGCCAAGAGTCTTATCACTTAGAAAAGTTTTTCAATCTGTTTCATATGCACAAAAAAACCCACCCACCATTAACAAAGGTTAACAATATGGATTTTGACAGATGGGATCCTCCTGACTTCTCACTGCATAAACCCAGGCTCTGGCAAGACTCTGGTTACTGCAACATTTCATCACCAACAAAGTGATGACCATCTGCAATGACTTCAGCAAATGCAAATGAAAAAACGTGTCTTTAACCTGGTAATAACCTTTATCTTTCCTACTTCTAAATTAGTTGTCTTAAAACACATACAGCAGTTCAATTCTAATAATTAAACTTCACAGGTACAAACACAAAAAGACTTTAATCTTAATTAAGTTTATTTCATTCTCTCCCAGTTAACAGAAACTTATCTCCTTATTGTAAATGTCACTGCTTCTTGCTGGTTTCTCATATTTAAAAAAAAGTATTAGAATAAAAGAACCTTTGAGAAAGTACTACTTTCATCCCGGATTACAAAATAATCATTAAATACTCTTTCACAAGATTGAAAGGTATGTGAGTCCTCCACTTGTGAGAGATCTTAAATTCTTCATTTGACAAACTTGCTGATAATGGATCAATAGGAAAAATGAGAACAAGTTCCCAGGAACTGCTATCAAATAGTCCCTGGTTGAGCAGGGAGGTTGGAGCAGATGACCCACTGTGATCCCTTCCAATCTAACCAATGCTGTGATTCTGTAATATTGGGAGATACAGCCATGTAACCATGTAGTCAAGTATATATTATGCATTTCACTCTCTATCAGGGAATGCTTAAACTATTTTAGTTACCTTACTATTAAAACATAAATATGAAAAAAAATGGAAAAAGGTCAGTCAGAGATGAACCTTCCAAACATTTCAAATGTATTCTGTCCTTTCACATTACAGTAACAGGATCAATCTCAGAAGAATCTGACTGGTTTAAGGTCTCGTGTAAAAAATTTAATTTCACGATCTGTTCACACATAGATATCCCCATCTATTTTTCTGATAATTTGACTTTTTTCCACTTGTAAGGCTAATGGCAACCCTTAAGCAGTAAAGTTCTGCTACAGATCACAAGAACAGTTAAATTGTGCTCTAACCAGAGCATGACCTGGCAGGAAAAGACAAGAGTAACTAAAGTTTAACTGCAGCCTGTCATTAAACCTCTGTTCTGTGATAAGCGCCCTCAGGCATCTTAAGAGAGGTCTTTTGTTAAAAGCAGCACATTTATGTTGTAAAAGTAGAAAGAAGGGCAGAGAACTAAATGCAGGAGAGGAAGACGTCCTTTTCTTCTGAGCTTTGAGTATCACTTCTGTGATGTACCATTTTTTTTGAGACCTTCAGTATATTTCCTAAAATAAAAAGAGGAAAAGCTTCAGCTACAGAAATAAACAAAAATCTCACCTTGTTATTTTCACACTTGTATGGGATTTTGAGGGTATCCATGGCCTTGATCATGGCCTGCATTGCTGTAAATATATTCTGGTACACCAGTTTTGTAAAGCCCTTTTTGTCTTCATCAGAGTAACCTGATCCATGAATGATTCTCATCTGCTTGATAAATGTGCTTTTGCCACTCTCTCCTGTGCCTGAAAGACAAATAAGAAGGATACGCTTTACCCACTGGACACATAAATGACTTTTTTGCACAATGCAGACAGCTTAGTGCAGGGCTGAACAGTGTCAAGGGGTACTTGCAAGGTAACTACAAGGACCAGTTTAGTGTCAAACAGCAGCATCAGTAGTAACTGAAGAACAACTGAATTAAAATTTGCATTTTGATTTAACAGCTAAACTCATGAGCAAAACAAAATTCCAAAATATACATATTATATATGATTGCATATTTAAATATCTTCCATTCTTAAAGACGTAATTGTTCAAAACCTCTAAACTCATGTAACTACTATCAGACATTTTATCATAAAAATTCAAGGACTAAGGGAAAAAACATCTTCCTAGGCCAACTCTCAGGACACTACAGTAATCTACTGGTATTACAACCAACAGATACATCTGTATTTTGGTTTGGGTTTTTTTTTTTTGATTGATTTGTTGGGGAGTTTTTGTTTTCTTGGGTTTGTTGGGTTTTTACCTGTTTCGTTTGGGGGTGTGTAGTTGGGTTGGGGTTTTTTTGTTGTTGGTGGTGGGTTTTTTGTTTGTTTGGTTTGGGGTTTTTGTTTGTTTTTGTTTGTTTGTTTGTTTTGGGGTGGTTGTTTGTTTGTTTTTTTTAGCAAGTATTGTAATAACGAAAGCCCTGTAAACTTCAATCTCAGAACTGTGTGAAATCAGTATCAAATTAAAATTTGGCTCATATTCCTTAACAGGCAGTCATTCCTTCCATTAATTTTTTTTCATGTCTTTGTACTTTGTACTAAAAGTAGTTTATTAATGAAATATGACTATTTGTCAACTTAGAAGTTAAGATCTGCTTGTCGGAAACTTCACAAAGGTTATAAAACACATTTTTCCTTTGCTCCAATTCAGCAAGCTCATCTATGACTACAAGAGCTTACCTATATTATTCATGTGTTTGCTTAAGAGGAGGAGTTGAATCTGCACAGCCACATAAACCCTGTATTCACCCAAGCTACTCAGCCTGCAGAAAACAAAACACATTGCTCAGTGCTGTGTTTTTCACAGACTTTCAGCCGGGCCTTTATTTTAATCATTTCTGTAAAGCTTTCATGCCTCATACCATAACAGTCATATCCCAAGACAAAGGCAGCCTTATATTATGTTTCAGGTGCCTTCTCAGAAAAGTGTGTTTCACAGCAGTGCAAGTGCAAGGTTAAAGGAACAACCCTTAACTATTTCTGAGATAGCATACACTGCAAAAATCTAAGCCTTTACCATGAGCATAATTTTGAAACCTTCACTCCCAATTCCTGCACACATAAAACAAACGACTAAAGTAAGTTTTCCTTACACGCACATTCCCAGAAAATCAAGCATGATGTTACACATTACAAAATCATAGAATGGTTTGGGTTAGAATCGACCTTAAAGATCAAGTAGTTCCAACCGCCTTGCCATCAGCAGTGACACCTCCCACTAGACCAGGTTGCTCAAAGTCCCATCCAACATGACCTTGAACACTTCCAGGGATGGGGGCAGCCACAACTTCTCTGGGCAACCTGTGCCGGTGTCTCACCACCTTCATATGTAAAGAATTTCTCCCTAATATCTCATCTAAACCTGTCCTCTTTCAGTTTAAAGCCATTCCTCTTTGTCCTATCATTACATGCCCTTGTCAGAAGTCCTTCTGCAGCTTTCTCGTAGGCCCTCTTGAGATAGTGAAAGGCTGCTAGAAGATCTCTCTGGAGCCTTCTCATCTCCACACTGAATAACCCAATACTGCCCAATTTTACTTTCCCTAGGGAGAAAGTGGTTGCTATTAATTTCATGAAGAAGAACATGCTCTGAGGCTGAAAAGTGAGACCAAGCCTGCTTCCATCCTCAGCCTTCACAGGGTACAGTGCAATACTAGGTGCCCAGGCCACCTCTTCAGGGCACTGCCCAGCCACCAGGCACAACTTGCCCCATGCAACCCAAGCAACTCATGCTAACCAGGCACAAGTCTCTGCAGAATGGGTGATGTAGTACGGGCCATCCTGGGTCAATGATAAATGCCTGTCTTCCAGTTCATCAGAATCAGAGGTGAAATCTTTACACTTCTTCAAATGATAGACTGCAGTGGGGAGAAAACTTTACTTTCCTTAAGATTGTACAAAATTACAAACCTAGACAATACGGAACTATTACATTGTAAAAAAATAATTTAGACCACTCTTAAGACCACCACAGTTATTTTCTTTTTCTGAAATCTATGAAACAGTCATGCCCTTATATAAGAACTGAAATAAAGTACTATACCTCATATTTTTTATCAATTGTGTAATATTGTCCAGCTTTTCTGCAAGATATGTCATTTAGTAAAAAAAATCTATTCAACATGAGCCTATAAACAAAGAACAGTATATCAGATGCCTTTGGTACATGATTAACTCTTCTACCAGAAGTTCTGCTTTAACTAATACATAAGAAAATAATTTCCACCAAACACCTCTGAATCAGTAGAATACCAAGTGACTTCCAGTTTTAGTTCTGACACGTTTTCACATGGGAATCTGTGCTCCTTCAAAATCTCCAAATGAAAATTTATCATAGAGATAGAAAGAACATGCTTTTATTATCCCTGGAAGCTTACAATTTTTTTAATTCTTATTAGAGAAGACAGTATTTCATATTAGTTACACCTTGAAAGTGAGTCTACAACTACCATAAAATGTAGGAAAACAAAATTAAAATCCAAAGAAGAATCTAAAATTTAAGTCTGCATCTCATTCATCTCTGTGGTTCTGTAATTGGACGTCACCGCACTCAGACACTGTTAGACAAAAAACAGTAACAAATTATACTTGGAGATCTAAGACATAGATACACACAAATTATATATATATATACACATATATTTGATATACATATGTGTAGCCATACATATGTATATAAAACTATATAATGTATATACACATAAAATACATTTAACTATCCATACATATATGAAAATGGTATCCATCTTTCTTTTTGAAGGCCACCTCAAAACCTCAAGTCTGTCCCTCACCAGGTCAATGCTTAAAACTACCTGTGTCTGCCCACAGACTAATTTTCTAGCTAAGCTGGTGGCAACAATGAGAACATTTCTAGTCCTCCTCAGCTGCACAATATGCACAGGGACATGAGTGTGAAAACTAACCTGATGAAAAAGGAAATTATGGAAAATTTCCAACAGAGAATGTATGAAAAACAGAGAAGAGAATATGATTACCAGATAATAATAAAATTTGTAGGACTGTTCAAGAATTACTAAGAAGTGAAAATATTAATTTTCAGCAAAATATACTCATAAAAACCTCACACTGATATTTCTTTTTACATTGTTGTGATCAAGGGCAGAAAGTAAACATTTTATATTGTTGCTCACAAGAAAAGCAAATATATTTCAACTATGACTTTTTTTTTTAAGAATGGCATCAAATATTTTCATTTAAAAATGTCCCATTTATGTGGACGTTGCTTAATAGTGAGAGAACACCATTTACTAGCATGTCACTAGAGATTTGCTCACATACTTCTCCTCAACTGAAAAAAAATCGAAAAGAAAAGTAGCAATGCTATTTACTATGGCATCATCAACTACCAAGGTGAGCTAAGCAAAGCTGCAATCATTACAACATTATTCCTCGTGTAGAGTCTGATTTTAAACTGTCACTGTTACAGTGCTGAATCAAACCTACATTTGATCGGTTTTATATATTTTTCAGCTTTAAAACCCCATGACTGGCATGATAAGAAGATCAAGACATTGACTGACACACCACCAACTTTTGCGTTCTACACAGCCTCAGCCGTTCATTACAGAGCAAGTTAAGAAATACATCTTGGCAATAAATGCCTAGAATTTTACCTATTCACCATAATAAACAAAACCAACACTGGATAACACCCTGAACAGGACTTTTGAGTGGGCCTGTTTCATCCAGTGGAAAGGTGAAAAGAAGAAAACTTAGAAGTGAATAAGAAAAAAATATACATGTCCTAAATGGATGTGAGTGGCTTACGGTCTCTGCTTCCACCACCATCATCCCAGGAATATCTCTACCTGCTAGAAGAAGAGAGCAAAGTGAAACGGCAATGCAGCAGATCAGCAGAATGGACCAAGGGGGGATAAAACTACACTAAGATCAATTTTCTGCTGGCTTCTATTGCACATTTAAATCAGTCAAGCCTTGGATCAATTCTCTGAAAACAGATGAGTAGTATCTTCTTGTGTGACAGAAAGCCACATATTGTACCTGAATCTCAATCATAATCACAATACCATCACCACACTCCCTCCTTATCTTTTAAAAACTGTGTTTTTTCAAAAAAACCCCACGATCCTAATATAATTCCTTGTCTGGTACATTGGAGAGAACTCAAGTGTGACTGAAAAAAAAAAAGAAGATTCAAGCACACAGCATGGTTGGTCATCTGACTTTTAAAACTTTCTTCCAGATAAAAATCAATCTAACTAATGAATGAAAAAAAATTAACTGTCTCCTAAAAACAGTAAAGAGATGTCTCAATTACTGATAAATTCCCAATAAATTGTGACATAGGGGATTATCAAAACTTGTAAGAGACTAACATCCTACAATCAGAAAATTTTTGACAACGTATTTTTCTTCTTCAAATCGTAATAGCAACAAGTATTACTGCATCATCAAGAATTTTACAACCAGAGATCTAAAGTCTCCCTGGCAATATTATATCCAAAAGCAGAACCAAGAAGGAAGTCAGGTTGCTTAAATACAGAGTAGTTCCTTACACATGTGTTTGCCCACATAGATACACCTATCAAGTACAGTTTATTGTATTGTTGCTATTCCTCCTGGTGTACATCCTGCAAAAATGAAACTATGTAATGTTGAAACACAACATTTTTTGCCCTGTGAAACTTACAGAAAAACTTAAAACATTTTAAATAAGTGACAGTGGTAGAGTGGTTTCAAAAGTTGTGGTGACTGACAAAGAAGAGATAGAGACA